GGTTAAGTGTTCAAACTACTAGCCGGGAGGTCGCGGGTTCGAGGCTCTCCGGAGTTTCGTGAGATGCGCACTGCTGATGATTTCCAATAAGGATGAAACAGCTGTACGGTGCTTCTCGGCTTTTCAGCATAGATTGGCTTCACTTACAGGACGAAATCCCACAAGCCTCCTGACTATTAGTTCAGGAGTAAACCGCGTTCACCCGTACGTTGCCTATCGATAAAATGTGTGGCCCCAGTCAACCAACCCCAAGGCTTGATGGTCGAGTACGCGTAAGCACTGCTCAGATTGAGATGGTAGAATAAATCTCGGAGGAAATGCATGAAATGTCTTCCTTCTGCACACAGCAGTTTCAGGATTATTTATTTCCAAAATGGGTTTTGTCGGAAGCAACAAAGTTTTCATCCTAGTGTTGTGCTCCAAGCATCTTGCCTCAGTTCTTCAAACACCAATCACATTCGGTTTGCCATTATTGCTTCAGCCAATACGTATTCAAATCAAGCCAGTTGATCTCTGGTTGGTACTGGATTTCCGACGATACTCTCATCGACCCTTGGTTGTCCTTCCCGAGGCACCACTGGCGACGGTCAGGACAGTACGAATCACGCGATGGAACGGCATTCGTATCAACGGCAAAGGTGTACTGCTCAAACTCTTCCGAATACTTCACGGGGACAAAACTTTCGATGGCTTGCTTAAGCGGCAAATCGAAAAGACTGTTCGCAAGCGCTTAGAAAATAGACTCCGCTGACAATCTTGTCGTTAGCAAGGGTGAACAATATTTATTTCAATTCTGCCTACTGATGAATCTCTCAGTAGTCCGCATAATTCTCAAATTACCATCACCTTGACTCCCTTACCGTCAGCGGAAATTTACACAGCTCGGTCAAAAGTATCCAGCACATTCTGATTTGTTTATTATTCTGTACAATTGTTTTGATAAACTAATCTATCTATTATGATCCCGTACCACACTAAGAATTGCATTCAGCACTTACCACTACCCAACAATTAGGCAACCATCCAGAAACAACTTTAGATTTCAGCGTGTGTAAAGGTTAACGAAAACTACAGTGCATGAATGAAGTGTTGCTCGTGTCACCTTGTTCTATCAGAACGTTATGCCTTCTCTCTTGCTCTGTGATGACCCACCTGTCACCAATTCCTTGCCAATGATTCCGCTAACGATCTGTTCACTTTCAAATTAACGTTTTGGGGACGATATTCCTCCAAAATTGGAATTGCACTCTGCTTCATCTCGAAGAGTGCAACATTGGTTACAGGTGTAGTGACGGATAGACGCAGCGTTCGTCACAATCCGTTATGTGCTCAAGGGAGCACGTGTGGGTGAAATCACGTTTCGTGCGTACCTGCTTAATGAGTTAGTGGGATATTTGTAGACATCACAAAATCAACTTGGGATTGTTACTCTAGCAGCTGCTCCCGCATTACCAAGGCAGGAAATTTTTCCGTTTTAGGCAAGTGCATTCAGGACGCTCGCTATCAGCCGGTCGATTCTCTCTAAATATCTGAGGAAATGACTTTTCCCGCAACTTTTAGAACAGCGTCACTGCGAGTATTCGCTTCGAACAACGAATCACTCGAATAGCGAAGCTTTCACAAAAGTAAGATAGTTTTGAGAACGAAGAAGGTAGCGAACAAAGCTTGTTTTCTGTGATTGTCACTCTTGGCTAATACATCACAAATTTATATGGTAGCAGAAATCACGTGGAAAAGGTTAAGATCGGGGCTACATACACTTTAGAGAAATAGAAATTTAGGGAAGGGGGGTTGGATGAGGGATAGGTCAGTGGGTCACGGAATCAGGTAAGTGACATCAGTGTCAGACAGACCGGATGTTTCTTAGGCCAGTTCAAGTTCAGAGGTTGCACAAATTTCTTTCGGACGCAAGTTGTGGATCCAGCAGTCGGATTCCAATCGCCTCTGCGATCGATAGTAGTCTGGATCGTACCAGTCATGATCGGTTCCGAAGTACCCGGTTTATAATGGTGAAAGCTTGCTCCTTGTCTATGACATGACTGGTTTCGGTCACATTTGGTGCAATCGCGCTTGAGCCTGGTTTCTTCCCACTACCACTCAGAGGTACGCAATTGTGTTCTCGTATTCTGTCCGACAAATGCCTTGTCCTACGACCCACATATGATGCTCGGCACGAGCATACAAATAGTTTACTTGGCCCCTGGCCCAGATAGCTATAATCGGCAAGTTAGCAATCGATTCTCATGATTACATGTTTTCTTGGGACAACAGTCATCGAAAGTTGACCGCTCCTGACCACCAGAACTGCCCCCAGTGAACAGTAATTTTTCCAGCTAGGTTTCTGATTCTAAGATGTCCCATAAGACATCAGAGCCGACAAGTATTTCCTCATCGTCAGAGATGTTTCGATTTTTCCAACGTGGCTGGGAAAACGTTTCTGTTTTTCTAAAGTTTGTTCTTACAATCTGGCCCAATGTTAGTTTTACTCTGTACGAGATGCATCCACTTTGTGCTTAGATATTTGTAGAGATACCAAACTTGGTACATAATCCAAACATACAGAAAGTTGGTGTGAACATCCTAATCGCCACTCAAAGGTGCAGCAGTGTTTGGCAACATGTGCAATCTTTGTGTGGTGTTCAACAGCCACAAAGTTGACAGTCGCTTAGCTGGTTTCCTACCCAAGCATTTGGGCTAATTCAGTCGAGGTAACGACAACCGGCGATTGATCCCACATCGCATGAGACACACAGGTTTGCCCTCTCCGATCTAAAGTAACGATTTTCACCGAAATGAATAGTTCACCGAAATGAATAGGCATTTGTCGTCAACCACCTTCACCTGATAGAGATATCCCAGTCAACGGCGAATCGGTAAAGTTCTACTCAGGCCGATTATAACCTAATTAGGACTGACAAGAGCGAGGGTCGCTAATCCATCCAGGTTGGCTCAATTCGTCCGTAAATTGCTTTCAGTCAACGCAGGTGCATGGTCACGTGCCTGGAGAAACAAGCCTTCTTCTAAGGCCGGATGAATATGAATAGCATTCACTTGTCACCAAATTTGGACCTAACATGCCGTAAAAATGGGGAACGCGAATATTCACTCGACACCTATTTGGTCAGTGTGATCCTCTTGTGATCTATTTATTGGTTTTCGCTTCACAAGAATGCAAATAGCTTCACTCATAACCAAGCAGAATGTACTGCCAAGCGTAGATGGCTGAGTAGTGAAGGTGACCAAAGCCGGTGGCTGGTGAACCAGTGGAAACCAATCCAATCAGCTGACAGAGTTTCTAATCGCTCCCAACAAAGGATGGTTCAGCTGTAGCACCCTTTGGGTGTCTAGCTGTCACACCACTTGAAGGTAGCACAAGGGTCGAGCTGTTGCCAAGTTGCTCAAGCCTAGGCATGAGCAGTCGAGACTCGGAGGTTGGGTTTCGCTCCTCGGGCACCAGCCATCTTGTTGAGCTCCCTCTCAACAAAGTCCGTTCGTTTTATCCTCAAGATTCCTCCGAAACTTTAGTAGTAAAGTTGGCGAGACGGGTTTTTGTATAGTCCGGTGCCATTTCAGATAAGTCTGATAGCCCTGACTATCACCTTGCCAGTAAGTTATGAACCGTCTCTCTGATCCTTTAAAGGTTTGGTAGCACCAAAGTCCTTTAAACAAGAGAATGCGTGGAACCTGAAGGTGTTCAGGTCCCAGAAGGTAGCTTCTCCCAAAGAGCCAACGCTGGTGCATACAGATGGGAGAAACCAGTCGTGTAGCACTTTTAGGGTACGATCTTTCCTGAGAGTCACCTGGTTGAAAATGGACAAACTTCTGGACCTAGACAGGGCACGTCAACACATAATGCCATCACATATAGCAAAATCAGCCCGGGGCTGTATGTTGAGTGTTTCGTCCAAGGAAAGACGAAAACAGCCAGACCGCCGAGGAGTGAAACTTCCATCTGAGAAGTCGTTGTTAGAGGAGGCAGTCAACACGTTTAAACGGGTGATGTGGCTTCCACGAACGAGGGATGAGGGGCACTGTATCCTGTCTAAGTGCGAGTTAATCACATCGCTGATCAGTCCCGTGGCTACTAGCCAGGAGGTCGCGGGTTCGAGACTCTCCGGAGTTTCGTGAAATGCGCAGTACTGATGACTCCCAATAAAGGCGTAACAGTTATACAGTGCTTCTTGGCTTTTCCTGGCTCCATTTATAGGACGAGATCTCCAACAAAAACAGATGGTGACCATGAAGGCCGCAGTCGGTAATAAAAACTCGGTAATTTTAGATCCCCAGACAAAACTGTAGAGCGGCTGTTCGGCTACGATATACCTGGCTATCAGTGTGTGATCTTCAGCCACGTACGGTTACAAAATCGCGGCTCGGATTACACAACACCAGTACCGTTTAATTTCATAAACCGAAATAGCAATTAAAGTTTCCGTACTTTTCTGTCAGCTCCAACAAGAGTTGCACAGTTGCCAGTAGCGGTCTTAGCGAAAATGAGACCACAGATATTTGTCCCTGAAGGGACCACTTCTCACAATTGGTCAGTTCTAGAAGAGGTCATAATATATGGACATTCTTTCCGGACGGTTCCCTGAGAGAAGAGCAACCAGTATGGAATGAAGTTGGTTTAAATTGGAGGGAGAAATATGTGAATATATATTTTTCAGCTTTCCATACTCAAAAGGGGTGACGCAAGATTAATGTGCATCGAGAAGACCGAAGAACTGTTCCGGGTTCAGTCATGCAGCAAACTGGTGAACATCTGGTTCTTCTAAGGCATATCGAAGTATCTGTGATTAAAAGCTCTCAAGTTGCTTTTAGTCAGTTTTAGATCTTGTCACAGTAAACATTGAACCATCATATTCTGACCTGGTCAGACCCATCTTGATGGGAAACCGATACGCACCCAATGGGATACACCATCTTCAGGAGGATTCCAACCTCCCCGACCGTTAAGGTCACGAGCGACTGATCAGCAATGTGAGTAATTCGCACGTGGACAGGACATATAGCGGTACTCATCCCTCAGTCACATCACGTGGTCGCTTGTTGACTGGCTCTCCCAGTGATGCCTACTCATATGAACAGTTAACTCGTTGTGTGAATGATTCTTCCGTCTGAGACATCGATAGTAGGGCTGATGATTCCTTCAAAGGAGTAGAGTTGGAAAGTAGTGTTTTACACATTTAATTCGATCTACACTGTAGTAGTGGGGTGAGATGGCTGAGTGGTTGGAGCGCGAATTTACTGACCGAAAGATCCATGGTTCGAACCCGCCCTCTGCCTCTCGACTTCCCCTGTCTAGCCTTGGGCAGTATCCCAGCCCTCATGCTCCCTTCGGGTAGAATGGCAGTTACAGCTGTTACAGCTGAATATTGTAAGTGGGTCGAATTTCAATCCTGATTGCAATATTATCATGTTTTCCGACCTTGAAGCTTTTCCTTGCTCTCCAGATGTTCTACTCACACTCATCCATAAATTCGACCTCTATCTTATCTAAGGTTTATCATGCGAATCTAAAAAGTGTTTACTTTCTGCGTACGCTACGCTTAAGCTAACTCGTAGCTGTAAGAGTGTAGGAAAGAATGCCCATACCAGTCCTCCCGTTGAGCTTGTCAGTTGATCAATCCTCAGTGTGAGCTACTGTTTTCTGGCACCTAGTCAGTCAGGCTCACATATGCGTCTGATGGGATCCCACATGAACGGAACATGTAGCTCGCTTGAGAACATCATAAACGAGAGATTCGACTGAGTTCCGAGTGAGTCTACCGTCAAAACCGAATTATCATGAGTGTGATTGTCGAAATCTGTCCAATTTGGGTTGACGGAAAACTTGGGGACTGCACCTACCGGATGAGTCCGAAGCAGCAGAGCAAAACCGATCGTGTGCTGCCGAAGAGTTTTCAGCAACCGTATGAGTAGTGCATTACGTCTATACACTGTATCTGATATCTCGAACATCGTACCAACTGAAAAACGAGACTACCCGATGCAGAACTCTTAGTTGCTTAAGGACATCGTTAACGATAGATTCAGTTGAGTAACCGTACAGTTAGGCCTACAGGTTGACACTAGAAGCTCACTTGGTAACTGATGGTCAAATAAGAACTCAGTGATGAGTGCACGAAAGTCAGTCGGTCCGTGTGAAGAGGCATTTGGTTTTGGCCTGTCTCGACTGACAGACGGTGGCTAAGAAGTATCCACGAAAC